CCATGGGGTGAGAGGCTGTGGGTTTGGGGTGATGTTTGTGGGGTGCCCAGCATGGCAGGGTGTCCATGGGGTGCTGGGTTTTGGGGTCAGGGTGCTGGGTTTTGGGGTCAGGGTGCTGGGTTTTGGGGTCAGGGTGCTGGGTTTTGGGGTCAGGGTGCTGGGTTTTGGGGTCAGGGTGCTGGGTTTTGGGGTCAGGGTGCTGGGTTTTGGGGTCAGGGTGCTGCCTACAGGATGCCGAGCACGGTACGGTGCCCATGGGGTGCCAGGCTGTGGGTTTGGGGTGATGTTTGTGGGGTATATAGCATGGTGGGGTGTCCATGGGGTGCTGGGTTTTGTGGTCAGGGTGCTGCCTACAGGGTGCTGAGCGCTGTACGGTGCCCATGGGGTGCCAGGTTTTGGGTTTGGGGTGATGTTTGTGGGGTATACAGCACAGCAGGGTGCCCATGGGGTCAGGGTGCTGCCTGCAGGGTGCTGGGCATGGCAAGGTGCCCATGAGGTGCCAGATTTTGGGGTTGGGGTGCTAAGGGACGCATAGCACGACACAGTACCTGTGGAGTGCTGGGCTTTGGGGTCAGGATGACGCCCACAGGATGCTACCCATGTCAGGGTGCCCATGGGGTGCCAGGTTTTGGGGCTGGGGTGATATCTGTGGGGTGCACAGCATGGCAGGGTGCCCATGGGGTGCTGGGCTTTGGGGATGGGGTGGTATCTATGGGGCATCCAGCACAGTACTGTGTCCATGGGGTGCCAGGCTGTGGGTTTGGAGTGATGTTTGGGGGGTATCCAGCATGGCAGGGAGCCCTGGGGTATATAGCATGGTGGGGTGTCCATGGGGTGCTGGGTTTTGGGGTCAGGGTGATGCCTACAGGGTGCTGAGCGCTGTACAGTGCCCATGGGGTGTCAGGTTTTGGGTTTGGGGTGATGTTTGTGGGGTGCCCAGCATGGCAGAGTGTCCATGGGGTGCTGGGTTTTGGGGTCAGGGTGATTCCTACAGGGTGCTGAGCACGGTATGGTGTCCATGGGGTGCCAGGTTTTGGGGCTGGGGTGATATCTATGGGGCATCCAGCATGGCACAGTGCCTGTGGGGTGCCAGGTAGTGGATTTTGGGTGATGTTTGTGGGGTATCCAGTATGGCAGGGTGCCCATGGGGTCAGGGTGCTGGGCATGGCAAGGTGCCCATGGGGTGCCAGGTTTTGGGGTTGGGGTGCTATTTATGGGATGCCCAGCATGGCACGATGCCCATAGGGTCAGGGTGCCCAGCAGGTCATGGTGCCCATGAAGTGCCAGGTTTTGGGGTTGGGGTGCTGTCTATGGGGTGCCCAGCATGGCACAATGCCCATAGGGTCAGGGTGCTGGCCATGATACGATGCCCATGGTGTGCTGGGCTTTGGGGTCACAGGATGGCAGATTTGGGGTGATGCCCACCTGGGGTGGGTGCTGGGCCGTGACACGGTGCCCATGGGGCGCCAGGTTTTGGGGCTGGGATACTATCTATGGGACATCTAGCATGGTATGGTGCCCATAGAGTGCTGAGCTGTGAGGCTAGGGTGCTGTCTATGGGGTGCCCAGCATTTCAAGGTGCCCATAGGGTCAGGGTGCCATCATCCGTGGGGTGTTGCCCATGTCAGGGTGCCTGTGGGGTGCCAGGTTTTGGGGTTAGGGTGCTATCTATGGGGTGCCCAGCAGGTCACGGTGCCCATGGGGTGCCGGGTTTTGGGGTTAGGGTGCTACCTATGGGGTGCCCAGCATGGTACAGCACCCATGGGGTCAGGATGCTGCCTGCAGGGTGCTGGCTGTGACATGGTGCCCATGGGGTGCCAGGTTTTGGGGCTGGGGTGCTGTCCATGGGATACCCAGCAGGTCACGGTGCCCACGGGGTGCTGTGCCACGGGCCGTGGTGCCACCCATGTCCCCATATCCCCTCTCCCCAGCTCCCCGCTCTCCTTCAAGGACATCACGGCGCTGGAGCTGAGCTGCATGGCCGACTACGGCGGCCCCGTCTTCCCCTACATCGCCTTTGGCGGCTACCCCGGTACGGTGTGTGTGCGTGGGGGGGTGTTTGGTGTCCCCGTCACCAGGGAGGGTCACCAGGGGGTGTCACCGGCGCTGTCCCCGCAGGCTCGGAGTACACGGAGGCGCAGGCCCTGATCCTCACCTACTCCCTCACCAACTTCCCCCGCCAAGACCCGCGCCACCAGTGGGTGCTGAGCTGGGAGCAGCGCTTCCTGGAGCTGGTGGGCGACTTCCAGCGCACGCACGGCTCCAACCTCTCCGTCACCTTCATGGCTGAGGTCAGCCCCCACCATCCCAAATATTCAGGTACCACCCTTGGGTGCCCATCACCCCCTCACCCATCGCTTTTCCCCCGTCAGCGCTCGCTGGAGGACGAGATCAACCGCACCACGGCCGAGGACATCCCCATCTTCACCGTCAGCTACCTCGTGGTCTTCATCTACATCGCCCTGGCCTTGGGCGAGTACACGGCCTGGCGCCGCGTCCTGGTAGGCCCCAGGGGTTTTATTTTGGGGTG